AATGGGTTTCCAACTCTCGCCGCACTCCTCACAAGTCCAGCGATGGCTTCCGAAGCGCCGACTCTGCGTGTGGCTACCGACATGATCTGCTCGCTCGCTAAACTCAACGCTGAGTCTGGCAAACCTCGAGAAATGTCGTATGAAGAGCGTCTCGTGAGAGATGGGGTTGTTCGCGCCCTCGTGGCAATGGGCAAAGGTGCAATGGATGGATCAACCACACGGGCTGAGGAGAATGCGGCTTGTATGAACATCGGTACAAGACGTACTTCGACGAGACGGGGTTTAACGGTATCGTCGTCATCGTCGTCATCGTCGTCGCTTACATTGCAGGTCAAGCAGCACGCACGGTTGTCGACTGGTGGCCTGGTCATTGGGCGCGAAACATGCCACGCCGGGGTGTGGACCCAACGTACTCAAATACTACATTCGGCATGTGGTATCTCGGGTTTCTCGCACTCTGTTCTGTGCTCTCCTTCGGCCGAGCGCTGACGATTATCGAGTCGTGTGTTCGCTCGTCGCAAAATATGCACGACGAGCTGTTCCGACGCGTTTTGAAGGCTCCAGTGACGCAATACTTTGACGTGACTCCAATGGGTCAGATCCTGAACCGCTTCTCGAACGACTTGGATCAAATGGATACTATGCTTCCCCAAGAGTACCAACTACTGCTCCAGAATGTGTCTTTGGCCTTCGGAGCGCTCGCCGTCTCGGCATTGGCTTCGTACTGGATTGCCTTGACGTACATCCCGATCTTCGCTATGTTTCTTTTCATCGGACAGTACTTCAAGAAGACATCGAGTGAGATCAAGCGACTGGAAGGCGTCACCCGAACGCCCGTGTACAATCTCTTTAGCGAGACTTTATCCGGTCTCGCTACGATTCGCGCCTTCTGCATGAGAGACAACTTCATCGAGTTGAACCGACGTGTAGTTGATGCCAACTCAAACATGTACTTCACGTACTGGGCTGCCAGTCGCTGGTTAGCCACTCGGCTTGACTTGCTGTCAGTTCTCATTATTTTCGTCGTCACGCTCTATCTCGTAGCCACAGTTGGTTCTGTGGGTTGCTTTCTACGGGCTTATCTTCGCTTGGCGACAGTGTCTTGATGCATTCTGGGGCGCTGGCCAGCTCCTTGTTATTGCTATCGACGCTGATACTAACCAAGTCCATTGTAAGCTGCGGGAACTGCACCAAAACATCGTGATAGGGGCCCTGATAAGCCACCACACCATCACGCATCACCACAACATGATCATCTTTCGGTAACAAGTCGTAGTGGCTATTCAGCACCAACAACCGAGTCTGGTCACGTGCCATACCGACGATACATTTGTTGAAAATCGCGTGAGCTACGTGCGGGTCCACAGCACTCAACGGATCATCCAGAATCAATACGTCCGTCCCTGCCCGGTACATCGCACGAGCGATAGCCACTTGAGCCTTCTGACCACCACTCAAGTTGATGCCACGCTCACCAATCTCCGTCGCGTCTACGTTGGGTAGAGCGCTCAAGTCCATTGACAGCTGTGATGCCTCCAGGACCTGTGCATAGCGTTCAGAGTCGTATTCTTGTTCGAAGAGAATGTTGTCACGCAGAGTTGCGTTGCGGATCCAGGTGTCTTGACTGACACAAGCTACTCGCCCTTCGACCTCGAGTACACCAGAGATTCGTGGCATTTCTCCTAGAATGGCGTTGACGAGACTGGACTTACCAGCTGCAACTCTACCGACCACCATCACTAGATCCCCACGTTCGATCTCCAAATTGATACCTTCCAGTTGAAAACCTTGCGGTTGTTGTCGGTGTCGAATTTTCTGTACTAATCCTGTCCTAACTGTCCTACAAAATCCTAAAATACGTCGTAAATTACTGGCATAGATTGCAAAATGTATCCTAAAAAGGTTCTAAATCCGGGAAAATATTGCAATCCTTATACTGTCCAAAATTAAAAACCGGTATTTTAGTCGGAAATTTAGGACATATCATAAAACCTATTTTGAGTCAAACTTGGGATTGAGGTTTTTAAAAGTTAACGGGAACCAATCATGCAGAAACACATAGCTGTTTTAATTTTTATTGTCACTTGACAACTTTGTCCATGGAGCACAAGAACTACCGCTTCTGCAAGAAGCGCACCGTCCCGGGGACAGGAACAACCTATTTCAGCTGCGTGAAGTTCCGGACTGGGTGTCCAGCACGTCTTGTAGTCAAGAAGGGGGGCACTATCATCGAAAAAATATTCACCGCTGCGACCAAGAGATTTTAGAAGAAGTCGCAGACGTACGCCACGACATGTCTTTGGAGCTGCAAGATCGCGCCATTAAGGACTTCGCTGTTGCACCTGGTGTTCTGTGGCAGCGCGTCTTTGATAGTTTCCGTACCAAGCATCACCCGTCAACTATCTACGGTATTGCGCGTCCGAGTGATGTTACGATCATCAAAAACGTACGCCAAGGTGCCACCGGTGGCGACATTTTCCGTGCAATCGAGACTGCACCGGTGCGAAGCATTAGCGACTCAGACCCGCGCCCGTTCCTACAATTCAACATGGCTCGCCCCACCACCGCCGGCATACAGCGTATGCTCATCCGGACTTACTGCGGATTCTACGGTACCCTCAGCTGACCCTTTTTATTGATGGTACCTTTTCGGTGGTACCAAAAGGTTTCTCGCAGTGCCTGATTGCTATGGTCTACGATCCTAGTGTCGACGTATACGTGCCACTACTCTACGTACTCGTCAATTCGAAAAGCCAAGAAACGTATTGGCGAGTACTAGAGCAGCTCATCATGGTGTCCGACCGCCAGCTGAAGCCTCGTGATGTTACCTGTGACTTTGAGCTTGCACTCATTAACGCTGTGATTGAGCAGTTCCCTGCAGCCAACATTGTTGGCTGCCTCTTCCAGTGGAAGCAGGCTCTACGTAGGAAGATGATAGAACTGAAGATTCCCAAGGAACAGATCGCAGACGCCATGAAGTCGGGAAAACTGGACGTGCTTACTGTCATTCCTGCCGAAGAAGTGCTGGACAAGGTACGTAATTTTTGTATTTTACTTACGGAAAATATTACTAAAATAAAATAATTTGTTTTTGGCAGGGACTACAGTATGTTCGAAGCATCATCGATGAGACCGCAGCAAAAACTAAATGGAACGCTTTCTGGAAGGATTTTGTGCGAACGTGGACAAAGAGGTTCGACACGTCGCTGTGGAACGTGAGCCAGATGCGGCGCAACAATGTGAGCATGATAAATCGGACTAATAACCCGCTGGAGAAGTACAATCGCGATTTTGCTGCTCGCATTGGTGCGCCACATCCAAGTATTCTCGTCTTCATTGAAGCTGCAAAGGCAGAGGCACATTCCTACATAAAATTGCTGGACGACATCAAGCATGGTCGACAGAGCGCTCCTGCTCATGTGCGGTCTGCGGACGTTGAAGTCCCCGGGGAATACATGGCGTTTAAGTAGCATTCTGCATTCTGTAAGCCATAAGATATCTCTCGTTGGCATGGGTAGTGTAGCCTTACAACTTTCGTATTTGTCCTAACTGTCCTAACTGTCCTAACTGTCCTAACGATCCTATAACCCATGCCAAAGTTTTGTGCCAATACCGTAATTTATGACAGTAGGTATTAGGACAAGTTAGGACGTTTAGGACGCTTTTAGTACGGAAAAACTTCTTCCTTGTTGTCCATCAGCTAAAGCTGCGCTTTTGATAATATTCTCCATACCATTAGCAATTTTGTCGTTGTCTAATGTCGGCGTAACTACGACAACCCCTTGATTCTTGGAGGCCAACGAAAAGTTGCGTCATGCATCCTTTACCAACACTGCTGTATGACTCAGATATGGGAGGAGTCGTCATTGATGAGTAAGCCAAAGATGGGGTACTCGTAACTTGTCGACGCGTTGAGCCAGAGATTCCTCCCACGCATAGAACTTTAAAACCCGGATACCTTACCGAACCTCCGACGTGACCTTCACGTTCATCGATGACTTTGAGCAGTTGTTTCTGGAGTCTGGCAATGCGATCTCCCTGTTGAACTGATAGAGTCATCACCACGATAAGAACGGAAGAGTAAAAGTCGAAGAGTACACCAACGAGAATAATCGAGATGGCAAAGCCTAGAGGTCCCATAACCAGCCACGGCCCATGCGCTAAGAGGTTAAATTCGCGCTCTGTATCCACACTCATGAGTGTGAGAGCCTCGCCAGGCGTGTACTCTTGACGAGCTTCACATGACAGTCGCAAGGACTTAGCGTAGATGAGTGACATGGTAAGAGAGCGCATGCTGACACCGATACGTGCCGATAGGAAGAACACGTAGTTCAGCGATAATACAGCCACGAGAGAGCTGCCGGTCATCATCACCATGAGCCAGTATCCACTGGAGATGTGAAAGATATTTTCTTCGTTATTTAGGAACTCGAGCAATCCCTGTGCGACGTAGGACTGCATGCCCAAAGCTACCACGTACAACATGCAGCCCGTAAAGACCACAGTCAATCCTGCTCGAAATGACACTGCGAATGCCATCGCCACCGGGGAAATCCCGAATATATTATGTTTATCAGGCGCGTACACACGACGGAAGCGGACTTCCAGAGCTTGGCAGGAATCTCGACAACAGAGGCCACATGTCCTCCATCTCGTGGACCCTTTTCGAGCCCAATGAAATCATTGGGTACACCCATTGTGCCAAAAGGACCGAGAGGAACGAAGCGCGATCGAGGGGATTTGGCTGCTGGCTGAACGGTGCAACATCGGGCTTGGTGGGCTCACTCGATAGCGCATCGGGTGTTGGTGGCGCTTTCACATAGTCTTGGGTGGTATCAGTTCAATTGTTTGTCACCATATTGGCGATGAAGACGAGGTGTGCTGCTACAGGAACATTGAGGAATGGTTAAACTAAAGGTACGGATTTACCGATGTTAAAAAGGCGAGAGATACTTCGGCACCTTGTAGGCCGTTTCGTCTATGCAAGGAGATGTACATCAACCGTGTCGATTAGATGGCGACGGGCTGTACCATAACTACACAGCGTCATTCTGTGACGTGGGGCCTCAAAGGGCAGGGCTCCCGATTATGGCAATTGTTATTTATCGGGAACCCTCCCTTAGCATAAATAATGGTATTGGGAAGCTAGTGCCAATACATACAGTATGGCATGTACAGTGATCAAACAATAAATAAGAGCATAATGTAGAGCAACTCAACATTAGAGACCTTGTGCAGCTGTCTCAAAATAGTGAAAATGTACACTGAAGGCGAATGGGGATAGGGCAGGCTAGTCATTGTGTTTTTTGCTGAGAGAAATGTACGTTAGCTTACTGCTCACGGTGACCACAGATTACAAAGAACCGAGTGGCCAAGGCTACTTAGCGCTGACATGGCTAATGCAGACTGCAACACTGAAGAGCCCCCCAACCCAGTCAGAAGTCCCAGCATTAGTAAGCGCAAGAAGGCCTTCCGTTTCGTACCATCGAGTGACATCATGCTGCTCAAAGAAACCCTCAAGCACAGACCCTGGGCGGCTAGTCATGGTGAGACGCTGGCCGCGTGGTCAAGCGTCGCCACAGGACTCAAGGCAGCGCTCACATCGTGTATCGCCGACGGCAAGGCTTGCCGTCGCCGTTTCAATACGCTCCTGGAGGTATTTCGCCGCGACGAGCTCGAGTCGTTGAGAGCGTCGGGTTCTGCCAAAGACTACGAGGAGCGTGAGCAACTACTGACAGATTGCATGACTCTGGTAAGTTTTAATTGATACTAGTGACATACGTTTTGCTTATGCTTTTTATCTACAGTATAATGAGCACGCACAAGTCAAGGCTGACAAGACAGAAAGGAGAAAAGAGAGGCTGAGCGTCGTGAATCGGCTTCGGCAGAAGTAGTTCAGAGCGCAATGGAGGGCTTACGACGGTCCCGTTGAGG